GGGGGGGTTAGGTATATATTTTAAACTTTTGTATCCTGTTGGAAAGGGTGGAGGTGGCTGATGCTCAACACGACCCAGCCTTGGGCTGCGAGTACAAACAGGCAGGAGATAAAGGGCTCATCCCGGCCTCGGATCCCTTCTCCTGTCTCGGTTGCTGTGTTTTAAGGCTTGGGAGTTGAAATATTTTTCACTGAATTTCACTGAATTTTAGAGTTGGAAGGGACCATAGAGATCATCTAGTCCAACTCCCCTGCTGAAGCAGGATTGCCTAGAGCTAGAGCACGTTACTCAGGAGCATCCAGGCGGGTCTTGAAAATCTCCAAAGAAGGGGACTCCACAACCTCCCTGGGCAGCCTGTTCCAGGGCTCTGTCACCCTCACCGTGAAGAAGTTTCTCCTCATATTTGAGTGGAACCTCTTATGTTCCAACTTTTGCATTTCTGGGGTGTAAAAACCAGGCTGTGGGGCAGGAGGGTGGCCTGCAAGGTGTGCACCACACCGTGCCCGTATCCCACATGGAGCAGCTTGGGCTTCAGCAGGACGCAAGATCAGTGCAGACGTGAGAAAAGGCATATTTAATGTTTCTTAACTTCAACTTTTAATGAGCCCCAGGTAGGAACACCCTGGGCATGAGTAAAGCCTCCCCGAAAGGCCAGGTATTGGGGTGGATTTGTGTGTAGCAAGCCTGGAGATAACAGCCTGTGAGAGCTGAGGTGGTGTTGGGGTTTGGGATTCGTTATAGAAGAAGAAGAGGTAGTTCTGTAGATGCTCTGAAGGCAGGTGGTGGGGGAGAGATGGCCCCCTTCCCTGGGCTGACCTGGTTCTGCTCCTCTCCCAGATCCTGCCCGCGTGGTGAACATGCCCCCTGTCATCTACGTTCCCATCGGGATACACGGATACATCCGCTGCCCGGTGGAGGCAGAGCCCCCGGTCACGCTGGTCAAGTGGAACAAAGATGGACGTCCCCTGCGAATCGAGAAGGTAAGAAAGTCCCCAGGGAGGGACACGTGGGGACACAGAGGGGGTTCGGACCCTCCTGTCCTCTGCAAACGCTGGTGAGCATCTCTATCAGAAGAAGCCTGGTGGGTGGGATGATGCTGCTTGTCCTTATCATCTGTGGGCAGAGTTAATTTGGGTTCTTGCCTGGAGCCCCGGACGTCTGTAGACTCACTGTCTGCACCACCTAATGCCCGTGTCCCTCTGAAGTGACCTCCTGATGGCCCTGCTTTTTTGCCAATGGCAGCTGATGGTTAAAAGACCCTTTTAACAAGTCACTGTCTTCCTGTAATCATGGTTGATAATCCGAGCGAGGATATTAGCCATTAAATATTTAAAGAAAATGCTCAGTATTTTAAATTTTTTTGCTTAAATATTAACGATCCGAAGCTTTAATTCCATTTAAACCTGTTGCTGCGGAGGGTTCCTGGCCCTTGGTGCCCTCAGCCCCTCAGGCGGCGTTGTCTCCTTGATGCCACCAAGATGGCTCTTCAGGGCATGCTCTAGTGCCCAAGATTATTGGTTTGTGGTGGGATGTTGTGTGGGTGGGTGATGGCTTTTGGTTTGGTTGTTGTTGTGTGTTTAGGGGGTGGGTGGTGGGTTTTTTTGGGGTTTTTTTTGCGGTTTTTTTGTGTTGTTTTGTTGGGTTTTTTTTGTGGTTGGACTCGATGATCTCTGAGGTCCCTTCCAACCACTACGATTCTGTGATTCTGTGAAGATATTTTACTTAGGGTGGGACAGATTCTCCTGTCAAACCTTTTGGGGTACTGGGAGCAGCCTGGCTGCGTGTGGGGAGGGGAGAAGCAGGAAGATAAACCCGTGTGTCACATTTGGATGGGCTGAGCTTGTCCCCGTTTCCCCTTTCTGCAGTCGAGGAGATGACTTGGATGCTGGGAATGGAATTGGGCATCCCCCGGGGGGGACGTGGCAGCCGCCCTGGGCTTGGGTGGGGGGGTTCTGCTGAAGGGAAAATAAGATGCCGTGGTGGGCGTAGGATAAATCAGCTCCCTCTGTTTTTCCTCACTGCCGCAGTATTCCGGCTGGAACCTGCTGGAAGACGGGTCGATCCGGATCGAGGAGGCAACCGAAGATGCTCTCGGCACTTACACCTGTGTGCCTTATAACGCCCTGGGTACGATGGGCCAGTCTCCCCCTGCCCGACTGGTACTGAAGGTAACTCTCCTGCTTTAAAAACCCTCGCTCTGCAGCCACTAAATATGCCCTGGGTTGTGTCCTCTCCTGCCAGAGAGGCATTTTCAATGTGCACGTCACTCGTTCTACCTTCCCCTTCAGCACAGGGATGGATGAGGTGAGGTGGGTTTGTTTGTTTTTTTTCCACACCGCTTATTTGGTTGTTAATTCAGGTTTTGCTTGGCTTTTCCGAGCGTTTCTCTGCGAAGAGAGCTCAGGAAGGGCTCTGTGCCCCCAAACTTGGTGCTTTTCCACCTACATTGCTCAGCTCTGCAAAAACTTGTCGCTTTTTGCATCCTTGAAGGGGAACAGCCAGGCCCCAGCACAAAGGGGTGTCTGTGCTGTGGTTGGAGGTGTGATTCCCACCGGGACAGGCAAACCCTGGTATCTGCTGTTAGGTTCAAGTCCAGAATCTTTGCCAAATCCCTGAAGTCAGATATCTTTGAGCTCTCTGCCTGTTACAAATGGTAGCTGTGATGCTGCTCAATGGGAAAGGGATGGAAGGATGAAAGGGGAATTCTCAACCAGAAAACAGTCACGGCACAATATCACCATTTAGGATTTTTTTTTTTTAATTTGCCCTGAGTTTCTAAATTGTCTCATCCTCCACTCTTTGAGTTTTGTATTCTTTGGAAATGGATAGAGACATGAGCTGGAAATATCCCACCAGAGTGGTGGCACGGGCTGGATCACAGTAGGCTTTTGGTAGTGCTGGACCAGGGTAGTTTGAGGAGACACATCCCTGGGATGGCCTTTTTGCCAGCAAAACGCTTAGCCCTGCTGACCTGGGCTTGGGTTTGGGGAATAAATGGAGGATTTGAGCTTTAGAGATGCTCTTGCATCCTATGTGGAGCCTGAGGAGCACTGGGCTGGGGTGGGAGCTGCTGCCTCTTCCTTCCCTGAACAAAAAGACCCCGTGCTTGTGAGCGGTGGTGATTCACGGTGTCTCGCTGAGGTTCACATGATAATGCTGTGTGTATCATAGACACACACATCCGCTCAGGCGGCGGCAGAATCAATGGGATCAGGTTGATGCCTGATACCATGTAGGTGGGTTTTTTTTGTTGTTGTTTTTTTTCCTGTTTACCTCCTTAAAACTTAAACACGGTGCCCTGGCGCGGCAGCTCGTCAGAGAAAACTTCCCTCGGGGTGTGTAATTTGGTGTACCACAGAGCTTCCTTAGCACATGCTTTCCTTGTGATGCCTCAACTTCACCCAAACCGGCGATTCCTTGTTTTGTTTTGGGGAAGGGGCTGGTTTTTAGTGGTGGGGGGAGCTCCTGGCTGTCGTGTGGTGGGAGCTGGCCCGGGTTGATGCTCCTTGCCTTTTCCCTTGGCTGCAGGACCCCCCCTATTTCACGGTGCTACCAGGCTGGGAGTACAGACAGGAGGCAGGGAGGGAGCTGTTGATTCCTTGCGCTGCTGCCGGAGACCCCTTTCCCATCATCGCCTGGAGAAAGGTACCCGGCCTGCCAGACAAATCTGCAGTGCCTTTGGCTTTTGGTGAATATTGCAGACAGAGAAGCCACACTCTGTCCCGGTAAGAACAAACTGCAGGTACAGCTGCTTCGTTTTGGGCTGAGCCACTGCCGTCCCGTCCTGTCCTGTCCCCGCAGGTGGGTGGGGGAAGCCCCAGCTGGTGACCACCGAGTACTTAAACCCCATGAAACCCTCATGGCAGCATCTTCAAAGCTGCCTCGGCCTCCCCTCTTCTTCCTCACCGGTGCTGCCTGCAGGACACCCTCCTCCGTGCCTGCCTGCGAGGTGGTCACTGGCAGGACGTGGCAGCCAGGGCAATGACCTTGTCATGGCGTGGACCTCCCATGGCAGGAGGGGACATGCCACCGGAGCATGTCTCCTGGGGTCTCTTGGCTGGGTTTTGGCAAGAGGCTGGACTGGTTTGCTGCCCCATGACTTTGAAGACCCTGGGAAGAAGCTGTTTCAATGATGCTGGACTGATCATAACGATTTCAGGATGTCCCTTTCTGTAGAGCAGGGTAGGATCCAGTGTGGTGGCACAGCCTGGGAGCAACCAGGTCTTCCCAGTCCTCCTCCAGCCTTCCCTTTGCTTTCCTACCTTCACTACTCCTGTAGGAAAGCCACTGAGCTCCTGGACTCTTTGTTCCCCTGTCAGGAGCTTCTCTCCAAGCCTCCCGTCCCCTTTTAGAGCTCCTGAGAGTGAGCGGGGTCCCTCCATGGGCACCATCCTCAATCCTTGAGGTGTGAGATGCTGGATCTCTTTGAATTCCTTTCACCAGCACGAGGAGGACCATGACTTGCACAGATTGCAAGTGACCCACCTAAAACTTGCTGGCCGTTTAGTCTTTTTCTCCATCTTGTTTTTCTTTTAACTCTCTCCCCCTCCCTCACCATTCTTATTCAGGTTTCTTTTCAAACACCTTTTGGTGGTCCTCCTCATGTCATGACTGAGGGCTTATCCCCCCGCCCAACACCAGCTGGGGCTGGCTCAGTTTCCCAGTGGCAGAGGCAAGCTCCCCGTAGCCCACCAGGGCTGGCTAGGCTCTTGAAGGGCTACTGAAGACTTGGGCTTGGCACTAGTAAACCCACATGCCCCTCTTCTCCCCCCCTGCATCCTCCATGGGATCAAACTCTGGGTCCCAGCATCAATCAGCGTGAAGAAGGGCTGAAAAGGACTTGGGACAACGTGGGATTTGCACAATTTTGGCTGATGGGCGCAGGCAGGAGTTGTTGCAAGATCTGTTCCTCCACCTCCTCTCACGCCATCCTCCTGCATCCCTATGGGGCTGCCCAAACCTCTGATGTGAAGGGTTCTGCCGCTGGATGAGGGGTCCGTTTGGGCATCTCCTGGGGCAGGCACTGCCTTCCCCGGCTTGGGTGGGTGTTTGCCGGGGGTGGCCAGTGCCTTGCAGTGATTTGGATGCTGGATGTTGAGCCCTGGGGGCAGGGCTCGGTGTCCGCTCGGTGCTGAGTGCCCCGCTTGGGTGTGAGAGCTGAGCATCACCCTCCCTGACCTGTGCCTCTCACGTTGCCCCGCCAGGTCCTCTCGAAAACGGGGGAACCGGCTGCTTTTCCGCGACCGGAGAGACCAGATCCCTTGCTGGTGGCCGGCGGTGTCCCCTGGGCCACACAGGTAGCTTAGTGACCCTGCTGCCGCCTCGCCCTGCCCCGCAACCTGCTTCTGAGTCGTGGTTGTTTTTGTGTTTTTTTTGTTTTTTTCCCCTCTGTTTTTGCCTGGTTTCACACACCCACCCCCTTCCCCCACCACCGCTCCTTGCCCAAGGTAGGGAAGCCCAGCAGGAGCAAGCACAACACGCTGCCCGGCGGCACCCTGCAGATCCGCTCCCTCGGCAAGGACGACCACGGCGAGTGGGAGTGCATCGCCACCAACGTCGTCGCAAGCATTACTGCCAGCACCCACCTCACCGTCGTAGGTACGGGCAGGGTGGGGGGACAGGAACGGGGTAGGATCCCCCCCCAGGCAAGACGTGAAGTTGGGGATGCTTCCCGTGAAGAGCAGTGTTTCCTTTAAATCTTAATTTACCGGTTTTCTGCTCTGGTGTTTTGGCCACCTCTCCCTGCTGCGATTTCCAGCAGAAATTCCAGGTGCCTGAGGAGTCCCCCCTGGGAGCAGAGCCCTTAAGGCCCATGGGATCCTGGGCTGTGTAGGGAAGAACGTGGCCAGGAAGTGGAGGGAGGTCATTCTCCCTCTCTTCTCTGCCCTGGTGAGGCCCCAGCTGGAGCACTGGGTCCAGTTCTGGGCTCCCCAGTTCAAGAGAGACAGGGAACTGCTGGAGAGAGTCCAGAGTAGGGCGACAGAGATGATGGAGGGATTGGAGCATCTCCCTGATGAGGAAAGGCTGAGAGAGCTGGGGCTCTGGAGAAGAGAAGGCTGAGGGGAGACCTTCTCAATGCTGACAAGTATCTAAAGGGTGGGTTGAAGGAGGATGGAGCCAGATTCTTCTCAGTGGTTCCCAGGGACAGGGCAAGGGGCAACGGGCACAAGCTGGAACAGGGGAAGCTCCACTGAAATCTGAGGAAGAACTTCTTTGGGGTGAGGATGGACCAGGCTGCCCAGGGAGGGTGTGGAGTCCCCTTCTCTGGAGATCTTCAAGCCCTGCCTGCATGGGATCCTGAGTGATGTGCTCTGGGCAGCCCTGCTTTGGCCGGAGAGTTGGACTAGAGGATCTCTAGAAAGGTCCCTTCCAACTCTGACAATTCCATGATTCCAGCCCCTCTTTCTTGTCTCCACAGGCACAAGCCCTCACGCCCCGACCAGCGTGCACGTTGTGGCCGCCATGACCTCGGCCAACGTCTCCTGGGAGCCCGGCTACGACGGTGGATACGAGCAGACTTTCTCAGTTTGGTACGGCCCTCTGTGAGTCATCCTGGCATGCTTTGCTCTCTGCTTCTTTTCCTTCCTTAGCCGACCCGAGCTTCGAGCAGCCGGAGTTTGGGGG